AGAAAAAAACAAAAGAAAAACAAGAGTTGAATCTTGTCAAAAAATAATTTAAGCAAAAAAAAGGTAATTAAGTGAAGCAAATCAAAAGAGCTAATTTAACCATGATTTTTCTAAACTTCTATAAAATTAGAAGACTTTTTATTTTATAGGCATTGAGTTAAATGGCCCCTTCTCTATCTCTTAATATAAACCTCTCTCCACTTGTAATATTACAACATATGTATGTGTATCTATGCATACATGCATACAACTTGGTTAAATAAATAGAAATGAAAATAAATTAAAATTTAAATAAAAAGAACATCATGAAATTGGTAAAACAAAAATATATTTTTTCCTATGAAAAATACTTTAATCTAATTTTGAAAACACAAAAAAATGCTGACAATCAGCGGCGACACTAAAAAGTCGCCGCTGAAAGTTGACTTTCAGGTCATCGCTGAAACTTGCAATATAATTTTTTTAAAACAAATAAAAAATGCTGACAATCAACGGCAACACTAAAAAGTCACCACTGAAAGTTCACTTTCAGCGGTGACTTTTATGTCGCCGCTGAAGCTTGCAACGTAATTTGTTTAAAAGAATTAAAAAATGCTGACAATCAGTGGCGACACTAAGAAGTAGCCGCTGAAAGTTGACTTTTAGCGGCGACTTGTATGTCGCCACTGAAACTTACAACATAATTTTTTTAAAACAAATAAAAAAATGCTGACTTTCAATGGCGACAAGATATAGTCGCCGCTGATTGTTATATCTTGTCGCCGCAGAAAGTCACACTTTCAGCTGTGACTTTTTAGTGTCGCCGCTGAAAGTCATTTTTTTTGTAGTGATTTATGTGGGTTGTAAATATTTGGGCTTTGTCTTTTAAAAAAGGACTAGGATTGGATATTCCAAAATCTATTGACTAAAGTCAATCTTAACCTTTGACCCAAAAAAAAATCAATCTTAACCAAAACAATATGAAAATAGATTTGTTTTAAAATTATAAAATTACATATAGGGTTGGATCTAGTAGAAGAGACTAGCTCTTTATAACATGGTGAATCAAAATTTGAATCTCCATTGAGAGATGTGCTCATATTTAACACCCAATAGTGCTCGAATATAATTGCCTCTAATAGAAGGACACTCATGGGTCTCAAAAAGAAAAGTTATAAAATTATTCTTGCGATGTTTTTCTGAACAAGTACTTAACATGACTTTGGAAGTGTGAAACAAATTCTTAGATGTAACAGCCAGACTTGTTGTTGATGATTGAAAGTACATGTCTAATGGAACAAGTTTATAAATAATAAGTCATTCGGGTTTTAACAACAACACATTCAAAATGAACAACAATCTATTCAAACTTTAACAAATTAAAAGAATGAATAAAATGGGCTTAATTGTACAAGTGTTAATCATTTATCAATAAATATTCATTTAGGTATTAACAATAACTCATTTGAAATTAACAATAATCCATTTGAGATTTAACAAGTTAAAAAAACTGAGAGGATGAGCTTTATTATACAAGTATTAGTCCTGCATCAATAAGTATTTATTTGGGTTTTAACAACTTATTTAAAAGTAACAACAATGCATTCAGACTTTAACAAGTAAAATACATAAAGTTTTAAAGCTCTCAAGCTTGTAATTGACCATATCAGATTAACAAGTAATTTTAGTAAAATAACAATTTCCGTTATAGAATTGACAACACATCGTTATGTTATACTATGAAAGTAGTTTAGAAGCTTTGATTAGGTGGAGTTGGTGGCTACTAAGTTTTTTAGGTTGTCAAAGGGTCATGAGATCAAACTCCCTTAGACCACCTTTACCAATTATCCTCCTTCAATAAAAGTGTCATTGGTTGCCAATGACCTCGCGGCCAACAGGGTCTTTGACAACGATCTAGTAGCTAGCCCTGGTGATAGTAGGGATGGACTTTTTTATTATTTTAAACTTTAGGAACAATTTGATCATTTCACTTAAAAAATTAATTTCAACTAAGGACAAAGGACTGCAATGAAATTTCATAATCTTACAATTCTTGATTGATATAAATTATCTATAGTAATCCTTGAGTGATATTTTTCCTAATTTTTAATACAGCTCGTAAACAAATGGAACATTAACCACTAGCACTGCCAAAGCAACCTATTCCTCCGGTTCACACGCAGTTGTAAGCTCTTCCACAAAAGGTTATTATGAGCTATATTTTTCTGCTTTTGCCAATATTTACTTACATTTGTAACTAATTCATGATTCTTAAAAACAGTTAGTTAAAATTTTAAATTTTAAAAAAATATTTATATTTTTTCAACTATATCCTCATTGAATATCTTATATAAGTACCATGATAATGACAATTTAATTTCAATGCATATATATTTTTTTTAAAAAGAGTAATAAATGAAGTAGGAGCATAGTGAAAAAACAATTATAAAATAACCAATATCAACAATTATAAAATAACCAATATCCTATATTTTAGATCAAATAAAATTTTTAAAAGATGTTATATGTTGTAGTTTGGGAAAATTAATGTAGAAAGGCATTAATTGGTTGATGGATTCGACTCAGAGAACAAAGGTGGAAGATAACACAGCACCTATCATTGCGAATCCGGAGGAAGCGTTTGATGTTATTGCAAAGTTGAAGGCGGTCATTCAAAAGCGAGGTGTTGAAGAAAAGTTAGTCAGCGAGGAATTATTGAAGAAGCCAAAGCTCTGCATATGGCATGTCAGAATTCTAACATATTTAATATTTAATTTTGTATTCTTTTGTATTAATTTGTAAGGCATTTATTTAATAAAATTACCCATATTAATGATATTCATTAAATTCAGTTTACAATTTTAATTGAGATAATATAACTTCTAGTTCTTAAACTTTTCATCAATTATTAATTATCAATTTAGTTTTAAACTTTAACTCAATACAATTCAATATGATACAAAGAGCTCATTAATCGCAATAATTGATTATCAAAACGTTAATTTAACCAAAGCCTTCCATAATTCTTCTTTTTTATTGTTATTGTGGAGAGCAAACTGCACACGAAATAAGAACTTTCCTGGTCACTTTTTTGGTTTGGGATGAGAGGCAACATCTAACTAGCATGCATTACAGACAGCTAATCAATTAGTATTGTCCATTTGAGATGAGATCGTACCAATATTTAGACATTTTAACATTGGGAAGAATGGTTGATGAGGAATATGATCTCCTGCACTTTCCTCATTATCCTCTTCAATGATCTCAACTAATTCTTCACATTCTGATATCTCTAGCCTCCTCAATTTTGGTAGGCTTCTCAATGTAGAGGCAGAGAAAACAACTTCAAGCTTTGTGCATCTTTTAATGACTAAGCAGGAGAGATTGTTGAGACTCGTAATATATTTTGGGCCCACACAATATATTCCTCAACTCACTTAGATCTTCCAACAACAATAATTCTAAACTTGATGTTAATGGTTCAAGCTTTTTCCCATTTTTTTTTGCATCCAGATTTTTTAAGTTGAAAATCTCTCCTATTTTGGAATTTTTTAATGTAAGCTCTTCCAAAATATGCAAGCACATCTCAGTTGCCTATAAAATACAAAGAAACAATGTCAATATCATTTTCCAATTTAACATCATAGAACGTAGGGGAGGAAGAAAGAATCAAATTAAAATAAATAAAATTGTTCTTAATCAATTGATAACTAATAAAAATTAGAGAAAAGACAAAAGATGAGTTCAAGTCTACAACTTAATAAATTCTTGAATTGAAGATCACTTAGATCTAGCAACTGCAATTCTTGTAAACTTGATACTAATGGTTCAAGTCTTTTTTTTTCATTTTTCTTTTCATCCAAATTTTTCAAGTTGAAAATCTCCTATTTTGAAATTTTCTATTATAAGATTTTTCAAAATTTGCAAGCACATCTCAATTTCTTGTAAAATACAAAGACACAACATTAATATCACATTCCAATTTAACATCATAGAACATAGGGGAGGAAGAAAGAATCAAATTAAATTAAAGTAAATAAATAATCAATTAATAAAAGTAAAAATTAGAGAAAAATGCATTTTTTAATTAAGATATGGTGGTGCAAAAACTCAAAAGAATAAGTGATAATTAAATACTATCAAATAGGAAGAAATTACTCTATTATTGTTTGACCATCCTTGAACAACTTTCAAAACCTATTTATGCTGATCGTACATGGACATTTTCGTTTGAAATATTAGACAAAGAATTTAACATCGGTTAAAGGAGTTACATATGTTACTAGCTATTAATCATGGCCATTAACGGGGACTTGGAAAGACTTGCTTATTAATGGATTAGTAATAGCAGGAGTACACTGATGTTCAGATCATGATTCCATTTCATATGGTAACAATTATTGAATTAGATCAACCAGTTAGCATAACAATATGCACCTTATCCTTAGCCAAATTTTGAAAAGCTAATTAATCAAACATTAACATTGAAACACATAAATGTGTTAAGCAAATGAGAATTTAACAAGACTCTATTTTGCGAAAAAAAATGGGGATTAGATTTATGTCATTCTCACCTTTCAACACTAATATGTTAATAAACTTGTGCGCAATTGTAATAAAACTTAACTTACCATTAACATTGAAATATGTAAATGTGTGAAGTGATTAAAAATTCAACCATGCTAAGTATTACTAAACATGTGAAACAGAGGCAATTGTCCTTCACCATTTTTTTCAATTCAATATTGATTAATGTAAATAAATATTATCCTTTTCAACTTTAATTTGTAATGCATATATATATATATATATATATGAGAAATCATGACTGAAAAATTATCAAATAACATCTACTAGGATTGTTTAAAATAATTACTAAGAATACCGTGGGAGAAGTTAAAGTAGAGTCGTACCTTTGTGGTTTTAGAGTCTTGTTGTGTTGCATGATCACAAACCGTAAAATCATTAAAACCGTAAAATCATTAAAAGATCTGATGCTAAACATAGAAGAAATATCAATATCTAGTTTAATGAACTTCATAAATAACCCTTTCAAACAAAAGTTTTCGGGACACAAGTTGACAAGTTTTGGCACATAATATATCCATAGTTCTTTTAAAGTAGGGAAATCAATGCAAGTTTTGATATTCTCATTCTGATGAGATAAATTGTAATCATGAGAGCTTCTTCCCAACACATATTCCAACTCATGTGCTCCGAAGATTGAAAGACATTCCAAATGCATGGGGGATCTAAAAGTAGATGCTGGAAATAGATATTCCATTGCATTGCAAAATGAAATGTCTAGACGTTTCAACTTTGGAAAGATGGATTTGTGATTCATATGAGCTGTAGCACCTCCTTCATCTGCTACAATGCATTTTAGTTGATGACAGCTTTCGATTGTGAGTTCTTCCAAGGAAAGGATTGAGGCATCATGTGGAGCAAACAATGATATTAAGTTGGCACAATTCACGAGTTCCATCTTCTTGATGTTGATCAATGATGGCATTGCGAGGCTTTGAGTTGCTTGAAAAGTTCGATGAACTACATCTGTAGATAAATATAGTCTCTACAAATACATGAATTATATGTACATTAATGCAAACAATCAATAAAATCTGCATATACAAATTAATTTAGAAAGAATATTAGTTTGGCTAAAGTATACATTTAATCACTTAACTTAATATAAGATTTCATTTTGGTCCTTTAATTTTATAAAGTATATTTTTTATCCTTTAACCTAACACCGTTAGTTTTTTTACAAAAAATTATACATTAAAATTTTAAATATTGAAAATATTTTCAAACGTTGACATATTAAGTTTAATTTTCACAAAATAATAATGATTGGCATTAACAAACAATCATTTGAAATTACCGGTCTTAAAATTAGGTGATTGAAAAGACACTTTTTAAAATTATAGAACCAAATTAAAACTTCATATAAAATTAGAGGATCAAAGTACACTTTAGCCTATTAGTTTAAGGTCTAGCTTTTGAATTTTTTCTATTTTCTTTTAATTTTTGCAGAAATTCTATATTGTAATATCTACTCAAAAATATATATATATATATATATAATTTCTGCATTAATTTTTCTCCCTAGTCATCATACATGAATGAAAAAGTAACATGAAAAAATATGCGATGTTGGAAAAGAAAAGCAAATTAAGATAGGGAGAAAGTAGAAATAAGACACACACATTTAGTATCAAATGTTGTAATTTTATACGTTAGTTTAAATAATTGATTGAAAATGTTTCCCTTTTTTTGTAAAAGTTTTATAAACAAATTAAGTTGTTCTTTTTTAAATTTCTATGTAGTATATATTTTATTGCATAACCAATGCCTAACATTTAATTGTAGATAAACAATTAATCTAAAATGATCTAGAGAAATAGTGTATTCAAATCTAAAATTATTGATAACCCAAATGCTTACCATTTTTGGGATGTGTTGAAAGCAAAGGAACTCTAAAACTGGCAGATCAAAGTGCATCTCATGATGTTGATTTTGATTTGATAAATAATCCTCATGCTCTGATATTTTTCAATGGCATATTTTAGCTCAGAAGCACCCTTGATAGTTAAAGACTTGAGACTCTTAAGTTGCACAAATGATGAAGATGGAAATAAAAATTCCAACCCTTCACAATCCTCAATTTCTAGATTCTTTAATGTTGGGAAAATGTAGTAGCAATTCCTGGAACCTTGAGCATTGTCTTCATCTTCTACAATACACTTCAGTTGATGACAACTTTGGATTGTCAAATTTTCCAACAAAACCGTTGAGGCAGTTGGTAGAGCGAACAATGATATAAGCTTTGAACAGTTTTGGAGTTTCATATCCTTGATATTTTTCAATGATTGAATTAGCGGGCTTTGGACTACTTGTAAGTTGGTGACTCCGTCTTTGGATGCATTTGTTTTCTGCTGTCAAATAAATGTAAACCAAACAATCAACAAAATTCACTTTCAACCTTAACTAGAGTATATAGTCATTAGTTAGATTTGTGGAAAAGCCATCATTTTAGTCAAATTTTGATTTGTGCACCTTTTTCATGTCATATTAATATTGTTGTCATATTTTGTTATATATGATCTCACCAACTTAGTGTTTCACATCTAAAAAAATTAAACAATATCCAAATAGAACAATAGTATTGCATGATATGAGAGTTCTCTACTTCCTAGTAATTAAGATGGACAAAGCAAAACAAATGATAGTAAGTTAAAAGAGTCTTACCTTGGTGATTTTCCAATCCAAGTGTTCTTCACTTGTGCAAAACTTCCACTCATTAAAAGATTTAATGCCACAATCGGCCAAAGAAATTGTTTGAAGAGATTGTGGCACTAGGAAATCAAAATTCATGGCACAAATGCTTACCACATTTGGTTCACCTTGAAAGCAAAGGAACTGCAAAGCAAGGAGATCAAGTTGTAGCTCATTTTGTTGATTTTGATTTGCAAAAATATCCTTTTGTTGGTATTTCCCTACAATATATGTTAGTTTAGGAGCATCTTTGATAGTCCAAGACCTTAAATTTTTAATTTCCAAAGATATTGTGGATGGAAATAAAAATTCCATGTCATTACACTCCCTGATTTTTAGCTTCTTCAAGTTTGGAAAAATGGAGATGCAATTCTTTTGATCTTTATAATCATCTCCATCACTTGTCACCAAGTGCTTCAATCCATCACATTTTCTGATTATCAATTCTTCCCACAATAAAATTGATGCCATTGATAAAGTGAACAATGTTGATTTTGAATTTAAAGAGAAATATGCAAGTTCCATCTTCTTGACATGACCAACATGGAGTAACTGTCTTTTGATGATAGCGGTAGTTTCCATCAATTTCTTTGATGCAAGTAATCCCTACAAACAGACATTGTTATTCAACAATTGAACCACTTAATTTAAATTTTTAAGTAATGCATGGATATATAAAATCTAGGAAATAGCACATCATCTAATTAGCAAATATATATATATATATGCCAACTTTTTATTTGGTTATATACATTTGATTATACTCAATTGATTTTATAGTTCTTGATTCTTGAGACATGTGCACGCACACATATATATGTGTCACACCCCGATACTAAGGGTATGATCATCATGAAATATGAGGTGAACTCATATTCCATAAGTCTTGATTAATTAGAAATTAAGCTAAAATATCGATATATGTAAGTTATATACAATAATAAAGTTCGTAAAGTTTTAAATGTTTTTTAGAAATTTCAACAGAATCTCCTATATAATTTGAATCTCCTGAAATTTTCATAACAACAATAAAACCTACCAACTAGACCAGCAAAGAGACTAGCTCCATTCTAAAAATCTACATAATAATAAAATAAGGCCAGGACTTAATCATGGTGTACGTGGAGCATTAAGTTATGAATACAAAATACAATAAATAGTTTACCAAAACAACAATCGCAATAGGCTTCCTCCTTTCCAAAAAAGCAAAAGGGCCCCACAATGATCTATTAGAAGTGCAAAATCAACTACAATATATGAGATCAAAGAAATTATCAATGAGTAGCATTCTGATCAAAATTATAATTAAGAAAATGTGAAGATAATAAAACAATAAAGTTAACTCAAAATGACTTAATGAAATGACAAATCATATACTTAACTAAAAATAAATAATAATTTTTTTCTCAATAATATAATCATAAAATTAAACAATGCTAATAGAATCACATAAATGTGTTAAATTTTTTTTACTACTCATAAATATAAAAATTTTCAATAATAGTTCAGTTTAATAAAGTTCTTTCAAATAATTACAAGAGAAATGATAAATTTTAACTTAAATTTAGGAGGACTTTATTAGAACAAAAAATAAGCATAGACACACATTCCATGAAGGTAAATAACTAATTTAGTGTTGACACACATTCCATGAAGGTAAATAATCAGTCAATCACGGCTGAAAACCATGAAATAAGCATAGGCATGAAGCTTACAAATGCAAGTATAAGTACAATGCTTACAAATAACCATCTCCCTGTTTCACTTGCGTTGGCCATCACACAAGGTTAGCACCTCCTATAAGCACCTTGCTAGTTAGGTGTACTATAACGCATCAAGGGCTAATAGGACTGCCATTAGCATCTCACATTCTAAATTCAGTCTTCCTTAATAAAATCAAGCATGTATGGAGTAATAAAACAATTTTAAAATTTTCTCTTTCAAACACCATTCAACCATCATTTTCTATTGTCCAATTATCATTATTTCCTCCATACATGAATCATTGCATTAAAATATTTTATATCAACATAAAATTTAGTAATTAAACTATAAAAAAATGTATATCATTTATCATATATATGTTTCAACCATTACTTATCAACGATATAAATCATCAATAAAATCAAGACATTTTCTTTAATAAGACAATTATTAAAAAAAAAGGAGTAACAATGATATCTGCACAATTTATAAAGGAATAATAGTAAAATTTAAATAAAAGATTTTATAAACACTTTACTCAAATTTTATTCGGAGTGCTACCCATTCACCTGATAGTTTTTCAAAATTCTGAAGTGTGCTTCTCACTTTAATTCTAATGGTATTCTTGGTTTTCTAACAAATAGGTCATAATTCTAAAATCATTTATCAAAAAAATTTTCAATTACTTACTGGACATTTGAATTCAATCCAAATAATATTAAAAATAATACTCTAACAATTTATGTTTTAAATACACTTGAGATAGTTAAATCATTTGACAACTTTTAATTTATCCTCATCCTTCCTTATAACCCATACTTATTTATAAACCATATCGATCATTTTTAAGTTTCATCTAGACTAAAAAAAAAAATGTGAGACAAGCATCCTATGTAATCCTTTCTCCCACTTTGATATTTTAAAATTTTCAATTAATAACTTGAATCAAAATTATAAAGACTTCTCCAAGCTACAACATGAAAGCTTTAACAACCGTAATTCACTAAATTCTTCTTTCACACATTTTTACAAATAAGAGCATGGATTTATCATTGACAAATTTATGAAATAAGCACCCATGCAATTCAACAACTTTCAAATTGTTAATTCCATCCCAAAATTCGATTCAGCATCACAGCATGATAATATTCAGCACTAACCGACACATACACCTCAACTCTTGCTAGAATTGCATAATAATAGCAACATGGAATAGGAACATCGCCCATCAGCAAGGAGGGAAAAGAAAGATACTGTGCTGCTATGGAAACCGAAAAGGAAGAAGAAAAACAGCAACTTACCTCAATAAAACACAGTGACAGCAGCTATAAATCAAACGTGCTTAACATTGAAGAAGGAACAAAGAAGAGCAAGTTTCCACACGCACGAGAAGGAAGAAGACCAAAATTCAGCCAGCAAACAAAATAGTCGAGCTACCATACACACACACACACATGGAACTTTCAGCAACTGAGGAGGAAGAAAAAGAAGGTCCGAACATGCGTGCATACACCACCTTTGTAAGCCACGAAACAGAGCAGAACCGAGGAAAGAAGAAGACAGAAAATTTCAGCAAGCAAACACACAAATCAGATTACCATACACACATAGACTTCCAACTGTTGAGGAGAAAGAAAAGAAAAGCTGAACATACACGCATGAGCGCACCCTTTTCCACCACAGAACAACAAAGAAAAGAGCAGAGATTCAGCTCAGCACAAGACAGAAAACAGACGAACGGCAGAGATGAACTAGTAAAGCAGAGGCATGCCGACGGTGAGGAGAATAACAAGTCGGAGGTGAGGAGGAAGGGCTCGACAGTGACGAGAAAGGTAGTCTAAGGTCGGTGAAGAGAAGAGACGGGAATGCTCTGTTTTCATTCATGACAGATATAAAATCTGATCAAAAATTATTCGGCAAAATTACAAGAAAGATCATGAGAAAATCACAAGAAAAGGCATAATAACATTACAAAAAAGGGCACAATATTTTTTTATAACTTTAAAACCAAATTTTTTTACAAAAAATTTGGACCCTGGATTCTTGAGAAAATTTCTAGCATAAATTTTTATAAACTATCCCTTTCTACTTGCCATAAAGCTTATTTAAATAAAATATTTATTAGGAGAAAATTTTGTTTAGTTTAAAATTTAGGGTCATTACAATATGCATGTGGATGTTTTTATCCCTACCATTTTACTTGGATTTTATTTTCAACAAAATGCACTTACAAAATCTTATTACAAATTAACTCAGTCATGCATAAAATATATAATTGAAATTACTTTTAGATAATGATGATTCATATAATAAATATTTTCAACATTCAAACCTTATTTTGTTCAGTTGTGAACCATTTTTCTTCTTGAAATAACTGGCAATCTACATTTCTATTCTTTGAACAATATATATATATATATATATATATGAGACATTTGATTGAAAACATTAAGGCAAGTGTAGCATAGGTTTGTGTGATCAAGTGGCCGATGTTTAGAAACAGCAAGATTGGTCTCTTCACTCTCGGGCCTTAATTTATTGAGAGAACAATATGCTTGAACCCAAGAGAGAGCACATGTGGCAAGACTTTGATGTTTCTTGTTGGACTTATGTCTTGAAAGTGGAGATGATGGCATTTGCATTTGATGAACTCTTAAGTTTCTCATATTCGCTATAAATTCCTCTCAATCTTGAAACTCCACAAAGTTCTAACTCTTGTAGTGAGGGAAGAAAAGCATCATCCCTCTGTTGGAGCTTATCAAATATGTATTCCAGTTGATTACTCTCACATATACTTATCTTTTCCAGAGATGCTAGGGCTCCAACGGGTAGGATTGGGAACAATGAGTACTCATAACCCTTTTGATTATTGTCACCATCTTCACCTACTATGATGTGTTTCAACTCATTGTAATTTCTAATATTTAATCTTTCAATTCCTTCAAACTTTGAGCAGTGATCGGCTGGAAAATTGATGTCAAAATTGGATATTTTTCCAATTCTATGGACTTGAGATGGCATAAGTTGAAGTTGCCTTTACAAAATATGCTCCTCAATTTTTGACACTCCTCAAAATACTGGTTTAATAGTTTATTGGTTCAATCTAATAGAAGGAACTAATAATGCCATTTGATTGTATTCTTACATTGAGAAGGAACTAATGAAGGGAAAACGAGTGGATGAAAAAAGCACAGACGTTGTATATTAAAAAATCTTTCCCCTCTTTGTTCCGTTCAACATATGTTGTGTTGTTATATAACATTTATGATTTGGTTGGAGAATTTGTTACTATAGATATAAGCAATAACCTAAGGTTTGTGTGCCTATAGAAACAAGTCTCTAACTAATTAATTTTTATTAGGTAGGTTGAATAAGATTCAATTAAGAATTTACAAAAATTCGGTGATATATATAATATAGAATTCTTGCTTGAAATGTTAACACTAAATATATATATATATATATATATATAACATATAGTTCAACCTTACAAGTCACCCCTTGACTTAATTGACAGGCCTCGGGGGGTTTCTTTTTTAGAATAAAATCTAAGACATTATCATTAAAGGATATTGATTAATTTGTCAAAAAATATATACTTAACACAAGTATGGAAAATTAAAGTGCAGTGCAAACAAAATATTGAGAAGCGGACAAATAACGTAACTATAGCACTATATATAAACAAACATAATTAGAAGGCATATTCGGCATAAAAAACATAATTAAAATGTACTCTTACCACTTTTTTCTATTTAATTTTTGGTTGAAAGATGCACGAAGCTATGAATGAAAACAGGAGTAGCAAACCGAAAACAATTCCTGCAAAAATAAAAAGATATATTCAGAGCTTGAATTTAGTTATAAACTAAATTACAAGATTAGCATATATATAATCTGCGTACTTATACCGTGAAGATCTTGAGCAACTTGAACGACGTTCTTTGTGAAGAGATAGAAATGAGAGGAAAGGATGAGAGAAAAGTGTGATAGGAGAGATTAATGGAAGAAGAAGATAAGAGCCATTCATTCAAAGTGCTTCAATTATGCGGACTTCCTAGCTAAGAAAGGAATTTTGGTTTCTTCTCTATTTGATTCGATTCCCTTTTTCTTGAGGGACCCTTGTGTTTAAAGAATGTATGGGGCTTCATCTCTTTGTACTGCTGATGTTTAATCTCATGTAATTTGGGCTTCGCCCTCGTTTATACAACCAAAAAAAGTTCTTTAATTAGGCGTTCCAGCAATCTCCCAAAGGTCCCACTTTCTTTCTTTCTCAGTAATTCAAGTTCAAGCTACATTGTAGTCTTATCCCTTCTTTTTAACAAATAATAATAATATAATAATAATAATAATAATTAGGAAAATGATGATTAAGGGCCCCCTAGAGTTATTAATTTCAATTGAGGATCATAAAATATTAAAATCCCATAAAGGACCTTGGTCCTTACTTTAAATAAAAAGCATACATAACTTTACAAAATTGCCCTCCACCAAACACTAAAAATTAGACCACTTGAAAAATAAGTGTCTTCATGATTGAAATTATTATCATGGCAGGGTAATATTGTTAATATCAGTTGGAAAAATATAAAACTTACTTGAAAATAGATTATTTCATATCATTTCAGAAATTTACTTTTGAAACGTTCCAATATCACTAATGAATTTACGAAAGTGGCTTGTGAATTTACTAACATCACTTAGTAATATCATCCCATTGCCTTGTCAAATTTCATGCTTGTTATAATTAGACCACTAGAAAAATAAGTGTCTTCATTGTTGAAATCACTATCATGGCAATGACATATTGTTAATGTTAGTTGGAAAAGGATAGAACTCCACTTGGGAATAAATTGTTTCCCACAATTTTAGAAACTCACTTTTGAAACATTCCAAGGTTACTTGTCAAAATACAAAAGTGACTTGTGAATTTATCAACTTCACTCAAGAATATTAACCTATTGACTTGTCAAATTTTATACTTGTGAATTTATAATTAGACCACTTGAAAAATAGTGTGTCTTCACTGCTGAAGTCATTATTGTGGCATGAAAATATTGTTAATATCAATTGAAAAAACATGAAATCCTACTTAGGAATTTGCACAAGTATTTTGATTTTTTTTGAGGGGCATTTAAAATAATTTATATTTTTTAAAATTCCTCATAAGGACCACAGTTTTGTTAGGATTTTAATATTTTATAGTTTTTAATTAAAATTAATAACTTTAAGGGATCCTTAATTGTCATTTTCTCAAAAAAATTAACTCACGTGCCTATCCACTGTTGTTCAATTGGTGGCCGGTGGAGAGCTTTAAGTTTAACACTTCAACTGTTAATTTACTCGATCTATTGGGATTTATGACAAATAATTTCTTATCCCTTCTTTAAAAAACAAAAACAAAAAAAAAGCACGCGCGCACATACAGAAAGAGGATTGGAAAGATATGCACTTTATTGTTACAATAACTCAACTAGTCAAGTCATCCATGAATGCGTTCCAGCAGAAAAGAGCCGTAAAAAGTCCTTCAATAATTTTGTTCTAGGGTCCACGTACGAAAAGGTTCTTCAATAATTTGATCCCCGTTTTACTCAGGTTAATTCTTTTTACTGTAATAAAATCTTTTTTATATAGTCAATTTTAAACTTGTTTTATATAATCAAGAAAAATTCTTTTTATCATGATAACATTTATTTAAATTAGTTTGTTTATTTTCTATCATGATAGTGTCTTTTAAAAGATAATTTTTATTCTTTCTATCTTGGTAGGTATTTTAAAAGATGAGTTTTGTTTTAATTACATGATAGATCCTTAATTGTCATGGTAGATTTAAATAATTATGGCTGAAAAAGTAAAGTGTTATACTATCATTGTTAACCACTTACGACTGCTACTAGCATTCAATATTTTAATTTCAAAATTGTTTTTAAATTAATATAATCAAACATTTTATTTTTGTTTTATTTTGAAAAATAATTTTAAAAAAGCATTTACAAATTATCCTTTTTTTAAAAAAATGATATTCTTTGCACTGTTTGTAAGTTATTAGTATTGTGCATTTTCGTGCTAGGAAAGCTCATGATTTTGAGAGACCTTATATTATCTTTGATGATTTCCCACTGGATTTTTTTTTTTTGGGAATGGAAATTGAAATACTAAACCAAACAAAGGAAACAAAATACATCAAGGAACAAAAAGCCAAAAAAAAAAAATCTATCCTCTTTCATCATCTCTCATGTCAAAATTAGGACATGAATAATGATCAAAGAGACAAAATTAACTTCTAGAATGTGAGGTAGTCTAGCAAGATAATTAGCATCTCTATTATCATTTTTAAGAATACCATTTAACTCAATTTGTTCTTCCATAGACATTGCCACTTTGGATGTCAGAAGGAGGTGAATGATGATTGGTCAGTCTTTATATTTTAAGCGATTGTATTTCAGTTTTATTAATGCACTTCAGTTTTCAATTCAAAAAACTAAAAAAAAAGAAACAAAAAACAAAAATGAGAACCCAGTCAAACATGCCCCTTACTTTAATGTGTTGTGTCTTGTACATTTTTACCGTCAGCTTTATGTCATTTTCACGTTTTTTAATATTTTAAAAACCAGACTAACCATCAAACCTAAGCTAACTGGTCACAATTTTTTTAGTTTAATCAATTAAATTATAATTGAATTAGTGATATAATAATAAAATAAAAATGATATTATATATATATAATATATTGTCGCTTGGACATTTTTGCCCTTAGCTTTATCTCACTTTCACATTTTTTAATGTTTCAAAAACCAAATTAGATATCAAATTAAACTAAAAAAGCCAGCTGGCAAAATTATGACATAATAATAAAATTAAAAAATATCATATATATAATATTTATAAAAAATATCAAATTGTTAAATAGCATAAAAATAAAATTAGATAGCTTAACTTTGCAATGATTTTGGGATTTTCTTTTTAGTCCATTTAAATTTTATGTTTTGAAAAAAAATAATCATTGACTTCTATAATTTTATTAGTTTTTATTTTTAGTTTATGCAGTTTTTTTTACTGTTTTCAATCCGCTAAAAATATGGATACTATAGGGACTCAAGGAAAAAACATAACCTAATTTTACAAAAAAATATCAAAATTAAAAAAATTAAAAATTGTAAAAATTATAGGTAAAACTTGATAAAATTATAAGGATTATTTTTTTTTATTTTTTTACCAAAATTTGATTCATTTCCAATTCCACATACATTTTTATAAATTAAAATATATATTCACATGAATAGATGGGACCCATGGGTTCTTATAGCCCTAAACTGACCATCAGAAAAGAAAAAGTTAAAAAAAAATACAAAATAAGTTTGGAGACAGAGGCATAGGACAGGAAGGAGAATCTAGAGCTGGAGAGTGAAAGTGAGTTGACAATTAATTTTATTTTTTATTTTTTTAAAAAAATGTTATATTACACTATTATAAATTACTATCAACTATGAACAACACTATTATATGCCAACCATTGAAGAACACAATAATCAGTTGATTTTTTAATTTTAAAATTATTTTTAAGTTAACATAATCAATTTTTATTTAAAAAAGTGGTTTAAAAATAATTTTAAAAAATGGGAATACGATAAAAAAATATAACCTATTTTCATAATTATTTTTCATTAATAAGGTCTTGCAAGACATTGTAAATTATCAATTAAGAGGAAAAATGACGGCAAAAACACGAAAACAAGAGAACCTTGATAAATTAAACACGTTGTCAAAATTAAAGAAAAAGAAACACAGAGAGCCTCCTTTTTGGGATTTTTATTCTTTTAAGATCGGATTTGAAGAAGAACAAAGTGAGTGACGAAGACAAAAACTGGACCATGATAAAATGTGGACTCAGAAAGTAATGAGCCATTAGTGACTCAGAAAGTAAGAAGCCATTAGCTTGGTTGCAATAAAAAATCTATCTCTTGGAGAACGAAAATAAGACTAATGATTTTTATTTTCTTTGTATAAATGTTTAAATTTTTTGTTGTCACTTTTTATTTTCAGGTGTTATTTTTTTTATATAATTATTTTCAAGTGTTATTTCCCTTTCTTTTGCGAGACTAATGATTTTTTAAGGCAGAGCGACTTGAAGATCCTGAGCGACTTGAACGATGTTGCTGAGAGAAATCAACTTTTGTGAAGAGATAGAAATGAGAGCAAAGGAATCAGAGTAAGAGAAAGTGAAGGATGATAACAGCAATTAATGGAAGAAGGAGAAGAGAGCGATTCATATTCAAAGTCTTCAATATAATTTTGCGTTCCTGTGGTCTCCCCAAGGCCCCACTTGTTTAGTTGTTTTCATTCTCAGTAATTCTGCCACACTGTAAAGTGTAAAGCTTAAACTACATTACTCCATATAATGTAAGCAAAATAACCAATTAAAATTAACGTGAATGATAGATACCATCATCACTTAAGTAATTGGTGAGGGAGGTCACATGTTCATATACACATATCCTTGCTTGCGTCTGGGTAATATACACGTGTATGTTATTGTTTAATCGACTCATTACAAAATAAAATAAAAATTATATCATTAAATAGGGAAATAGTAATACATATATCATATGTAGTGTGGGACACTAAAATCAAAATAAAATCTATATGCGGGACAGGCCATAATGTGTGTCGTCCTTGATATTGCTTTTAATAAAGTAACACTATTTGCTGGACTCGTCTTTTTGGCCATGATGCTTTTCAGTCATCATGCAATGAGATATCCAATGCATTGCTATTTTGTTATTTTAAAGAAAAAGAGACAATAGTGGGAAATATTTATTATGTTAAAGTCTTATGATTAAATTAACTTCTTATTTTCTTTTGACCAAAAAAATTAACTTCCTAATTGCCCATCATTCTGTCAAATCTCATAATTATTTTCATCTGAAAATTTTAAACATTAAACCCAACATTTTATCTTTATCCGAAAATCACATGAAATTTTTTTTGATTGCATATATGTATTATCCCATTTAAGACACAGTTAGCCACTAAATATGGATACCTCTCACTTGAAAAATCTCATATTTTTATTTATTCATCTTAATATGTGCCCATCCACAGGTGCATGTTCAATTGGTGGCTAGTGGAGAGTAGAGTTTAACACTTCAATTATCGACTTACTCAACAGTGATGTGTGACAAATAATTTATTATACCTTCTTTTTTTAATATATATATATATATATATATAAAGAGGATAGGAAAGAAATGCACCTTTTGGTCTTACAGATAACAACTGGTCAAGTCATCCATATGATAACGTGGCAAAGAAAAATAATAACTTATGCATAAGGTATTAATAGGTCAAAATTTATTAAGTGAAAGAGCAAATGACAAATTAATGTGGTTGTACTATGTAAAATGACAACTGGTCATAACAAACTGGCAATTATAGTATAGAATAATAGAAGATAACTTCATAAATGTTTACTTGACAAAATTTTATGCGTAAGTTGTCATTTTTTTTGGGGCATATTTTCATTATCCATTGCCTTGTCAATTTAAACAGCATATAACTTCATATATTTTACTATATGTGTCAGTTCTCTTTATCGTGTTGTCATTACTTGTTGCCTTATCAACTTAAACGGCAAATAAATTCATAAATTCATACCTATCAATACCTTATGTGTAAGCTGTCCTTTTCCTTAATTTGTCATGTTATCATTTCTGGTTGCCTTGTTGTCAATTTAAATAGCATATAATATCCTATGCGTATGTCGTCATTTGCCTTTGTCATATTGTCATTACTCACTGCCTTGACAGTTTAAATGCCATAACATATCTTAAATTTTTACTTATCAACACCCTCTTTGTAAGTTGTCATTCTCCATATTATAATCATCTATCAAGTTGTCAATAGCAGATTCGTTATTTTCAGTTTAAAATAAAATTCTTCCCCTTGATAAATTTTTACTTATCAATAAGACATAAGAAAGTTGTTAACAAGTGCCACCTTGTCAATTTTTGATAAACTTGTTAATATCACATTCCAACAATCTCGTTCTGGTGATGATGAAGTCGGTGTGGCTCAATGTGAAAAGATTAGCTGTAAATTGGTAGGAGAAGTGATATTTGTTTTTGAATTTCTTCCCATAAATGTTAGAATCTATTGGGCAATTTAGTAATTGTCTGTCTAACATTACTTATAGCCAAGGATCTCAGGACTTCGTACAGTTATTTATACATTTTGTGAGAATTTTCAGTATTTAGAAAACTTCTAAGGGACTCTATAGTAATTCTGCTATAATTCTATCCCCATTTATATTCACACTTACCTTTTCCTGCAGAGATTTCAATGTTACTTATACAAGACAAGAACACAAAATCTGCCAAAAAAGAGAGCTCACAAAATTTTAGCATTAACTAGAGTAGAATTAGTTCAGAAACGCATGAGTATAAGATTCAAAGTGACAATAATATGCATTCCATCATACAACAAAAGAAATATGATATGATATGTGTGTGTGTGTGTGTGTGTTTTACCTCTTTTTCTTGAAGATCTCACTATTGTTTCTTTTCACTTTCTTTTTTTTTTCTTTTTCCGAACTTAAAAAAGAACAAAGTATTGAAGACGAAAAATAAACCAGTCTTTTACACGAGAAGACAACACCTCAAAATCTGTCAAATACAAAACACGAAATTTATTGTTGGTGAAAGAATAATTGATGCAAAATTTTAGTGCCAAATTCAAACATTATGGTTCCCAGGGGAAGTGAGACATTGTTTTAACTAAGTTGATTAAAGGCTTCTTTACATATTTGATGAAAACTGATTTTTGGGCTAAAAATGTGTTTGGCAAGATGGTAGAATTCATGATTTTTTTTTAATATTAGTATTGAAAGTTTAGTAAGAAACAATGCAAGAAAGGAAAGAAAGAAATCAAAGTGGTGATATTAATTCCTCTCATCAATACACACACACAAGTTGAGTATTCAAAAAGATAGGCGCGCTTTCAATATAATATATGAGGCTAATATTTTTAAAGAGAATCGAGAAACACACATATACATACAATAACACTTGTTTTTGAAAATAAAAAATTAAAATATCTTAGATCAAGGAGGGACAAGATAGTTAAAATAATGTTTTATAAACCTTGACAAAGTTGGCGATAGATTTTTATTCTATGGTAGGAAACTCCTTTCTTTTTGTTTTTTTTTTTTGTTTTCCTTTTCCTTTTCCTTTTTCTTTTTATGTTGCGGGAAACCTTTCCTTGACTAATTTTATGAGGCTTACTTCTGTTGCATAAAAGGATATCAATTCCATGGTAACTTAAATAATGTGTGCCACACTAACCTTTGATCCAAAAGAATTATTTCAATTTTTTTCCTTCCAACAAAAGATTTTGAATTTTTTGATAACTACATCTCATCTTATTAGAGATAAAGAAATCAAAATCTCACATCTAGAGAATAGAAGATAGACTAGGAAAAGAGTGTGTCTAACTAAATAGCTTAAATTATTTTGGTGAAGTAAACTACCATCAAGCATACTTAATATAAAGAGTTTAACACATCTCACCCTTTTTATTTGAGCCAGTCAAACAAACTTATTCGTCTAATTTCTTGCCAACTTATTCCTCTAATAATATTATTGTGTAAATTATAAGTCTAAGAAAACTTTCATAATATTACAACTTTAAAGAGTTAATTATATCTCTTATTTCTTAAATCAGATAAAACATTTTTTCATGATTATTACACGCTCCAAGCTGTCATTACAGCATATGCTACATCAAGTATGCAGAAAGATAAGTGATCAAATGTCCATTTGGTAATCGGCATTGATAAAATGAAACACTATCAAAATGTGTTCTAACCCTTTTTTTTTTTTTTTCTTTTGAGGGATTTTAATGCTGCTTGATGAAGAAACTTTCTTTCACACAGAAAAAACAGAAACAAAGAAAACCTGTTTAACGCAAAAATATAAAGGAAGTCTAGCATCGATGAAAAAATTAATGCAAAATAAATGCCTGACAAATATAAGACACGAAGTAATTAAAAAATAAAACAACATTTTTTGTAGATGACCAAAGCAACTATTGGTTTTTTTTTTTAAAAAAAAAAAGAGCAGCCAAAAGAAGGTCTTGTTAATTTGACAGGATCTTGGGTATCAAACAAATTCATTGATTTGGGTTGAGTGCTGCTTCGCATGAAAAGAAAAGGTACGTTATTGCAAGCATTAGGTTTGAAACATGCATTAAAATTTAATCTTATTTTAAATTATTCAAATAAAAAACAATTAGAAACTTCTAAAATAATGATTATATATTTTAAGTAATATTTTAATAGTCTAGATTAATATATAGCAAAAGACAAATATATAAGAATATAATGAAATGAAACATTATCAATATATTTTTACCTTTTTTCAAGAGATTTCAATGTTGTTGGACAAAGAGTGACCTCCTCTTTACTTTTTTACTTTTTTTTTTATCTTTTTCAAACTTGGAGAAGAACAAAGTGTTGAAGCAGAAATAAAAAGATTCTTCACAGCAATAGAAAAGAACACAATATCTGCCAAACACAAACAGACCAAAATTTAGTACACTACAAATAATCGACAAAAATTACATAAAGGTATGAGCTTTAAACTGATTATGTGCAACATTCATTACTATGTATCAAAAAATTAAATTAAGGTTAGCAATCTGTGGATCTTAAGAGTAATTATGAACTTTTAACATTTCTCATGTTAGATTTTGGTATAAAATATAATCAATCTTCTCTTGTTTTACTTTTGGGCTGTTAATTTCTATAGTCCTTGAGATTACTTTTCCTTTCTTTATTTGGCCGGTTGTAATTCTAATACTATTAAAAATGGGGGAATACTTGCACTTAAAAATGGGAGAAAGTACATTAACTATATAAGCTTAGACATATTTTCTTATTAAAAATATTCTCTAAGTACTAAATATATACATATCACTAATGTTATTGCCACAAAACACTATCACTTTAATTTTTTTTTTCATTTTTATAATCTTGTCCTGTGAAATTCATGTTGCCTTCATCCTTATAGAAATCTATAAATCCTTTACTTTTATAACAATTATATTATGAATGTACTAGACTTTTGACATAATGTAATTATTATTAACTATAGAATGATGAGGGCAGAATTAATATAGAGGGGAGAATTTGTGAAAATTTGATCACCCGTATAGCTATAAAATGTTTTTCACAAAAAAAGAAGAAGTATTCTTAATACAAAAAATTTAGAACATCGTATTTAGTTTTGACCATACGAATATACATTAATTGTCAATAAAGGTCAATATTATAATTATTGCAGGTATATTGATCGGAATTATGTAAAAAGCCAAAAGTGCAAACCTATTATATGTTAAAAGACAACTCTGATAAACATAACATGATAAAAAAAAATAACAATCAAAATAAATCCTCACCTTTTTTTGTGTAGATATTTCAATATTATTCAACAAAGAAACCTCTTTTTTTTTAATATTTGAAGAAGATCAAAATAATGAAGAGAAAATCAAAAATCTTCACACTGCAGGATGACAAGAATCAGAATCTGCCAAGCAAATGACTACAAAAGTTTTAGTTTTAATAATTGAAGAATCATTACCAATATATAGGGCAAGAGGAAAATTATATAACAATTTAAATGAAAGCATATGTGTGTTTAAAGCGATAATAAAATGCATTGACCACATAATAGGTTTTTGTTCATCTTTGGAATGATATGATATACATAGTTTATACTTTTACTATGTATGTTTCGTAATATTTTGCTATGACTTATGAGTATAAGCTCAAAGGAAAAACTTATCTTAAAAGATGAGTCTTTTAGGTGAAAGTGTTTACTAAATTTATAAATAAACCACACTTTTCTTGTGAAACTTTTTAATATAGGACTCATATCATGTTATTAATCCTTAATTTTGGTAAAATAACATGAAGAAGTTATAGCATAAGAAATTTACTATTCATCATGTTTCAAATTACTAAATATTGAGTTTTTCTACAATCACAAGAAGTTTTTTTTTTTTTGAATGAAAAGTGATACAAAGAAATTAAAACAGTTTACATCGAGATAGGATCAAGAGAGAACTTCCTCTTATCATCCATCACCTTAACACAAGAAGGCAAGAGTTGATCAAAAATAGTCCAAACAACTAAGTGGTCACGAGCATTATTAGCTAAGTAATGGGTACAAAAATGGGCCTCTCTAAACATAAAATTAACAAAAACAAAAAAAAAGTATTTTATGATCATTAGTTCATGACAACATAAAAAAAAGTTAGAACCTAGACTTCTCACAAAGTTATAGGTTCCCCATTATAAGGATATTTTTTCCCACTCATCGTCAACTAAAAATCCCTTTGAGCCATGAAAATAATTAATTTGAATATTTAAAATACTGCACCATGCATATAATTTTCCCCTAATTTTAAAATTTTTAATTGTAAGTTACCAATTTTTCTACTGAGAGGCCTTGTATCCCAGAAGTTGTCAATTATTATTTAAGTTGATTAACTCTCCAAAAAGGTTAAACAAGCCAGTAAAATTTTGACATATATTCAAATGCTAACATAAGCGAAGCATAGAAAGCATCAACATTTTAATCAAACTTATTATTGGATAGAAAAAGCTGACAATATGCTAGTCTTGATATCACTGAAAATCATTCTCATACATATAAAGCAAAGAACAATACATGTAGAGATGTGCATTTATATCATTATACACACCTCGATTGTAAAAATTGATGCAGCAACAACTGAGTCTTGACAAGGATTGATGAATCGAACTTGTTGATGATTGGTGAAAGCAGGAAGATCAAACTTCTTGAACTCAGGGTGATCGATGAAAGAATTGTAAAGAGAGTTATCTATCTATTTGCTTAGCTTAATTACATGTAATGAGAGCAAGAATCTCACAGGAGTGTGTTCCACTCAAAGATGATTCATCTTTCGTCTTTATTGGGGGAAAAAGAGGTGACAGTTTTCATCAATCTCTCCTCAATGTTGTCGTTGTCCATATTCTTTGCTTCTTGCTTTTTGTGTATGTGTGTATTACTTTTTGAAATTATTTTCAGTCCATTATCAATTCCCTAATAAACTTCAAGCATTCCTCAAATACTTTTTCCCTCGCGAAGAGCAAGAGGAAGAGGGCAAGAAAGGCATAAAGCAGCCGTGGAACTAGAAGTTCTTCAAGATATGCTTAGTATGTACATAAAGCAAGAAGCTTTGTATTAAGGACAAAAAAAAAAAACTAACTTCATCTTGTATACAATAAACCATGATACTCCCTCCGTTTTTTATTGTTAGAAAAACTATCACTTTTAATTTATATTTTTTATAAGCAAAATCATCCATTTTAATAAGTATTTATTACACATTCTCTAAATCACCCCTCTTAATTTACATTAGCGATAAATAATTAATGTATGCTTATGTTGATTAATACAGGACATTTTAGTTCACTTATTTTATTTTCAGATATAATTATTATAGTTAACCAACTTTTTTAAACTGTATGATACAGTTTTTTTTCTCTTATACTCCATCTGTCCCTATATATAAGGTGTTTTCTAGAAGCCTATTTTGTCCCTAAATATAAGGGGTGGCAATGATATTTTTGAATAATTAGACAAATTAACCCTTATCGTGGAAAATGGAATAGATCACTAATTGTATGTTTTCCCTATCACCATCATGATATTAATTATGATATTATTAGGGGTAAAACTAAAAAATCATTGTGTTTTTATGTGAGTTTAATTAAATAACAAATATTTATTAGTATGTCAGATTCAATTAAAGACACCTTATATACAAGGATGGAGGGAGTATATAGAAAGTGAGGGAGTAGTTTGTAATCCTTGATGAAAATTTATAGGCAAATGGAATCACTAGGAGCGTAAAAAAACCTGGAACTAAGTAAAAGTGGCTGAATTTAAAAATCAAATTAGGGGAAAATCTCCAAAGAGAGAATGGCTAAAACCGTATATGCAAGTTCACCAGAGAGGGCTCTTATAGAAGACTGTTTTTTGATTCATCAGTATTGAAATCATAATTAAGGAGCTTTGTGTTTGGGAGTGGATAATAAAGTGGGTATATTCAGATGGAATTTGCTTTCATTTCCAATACAATGTATTGAAGCAATTGAGGTCTAAATTAAAGTCAGATTTTAATGTCCTGCCTTCATTCCAATAAATTTCAACGAAACCCAAAATCTATTATCTGAGCCATTATTATTACACTTAACCCACCCGTACTCTGCTTCATGATTCCAAAGTTTGACTATCAACACCATATCAACTATTGTGATAAATTCGTCGTAGTCGTCGTCATCCATTTATATGAATTTTTTATATACGTCTCTATAAAATAAAAATTTTCAAGTCAATCCTTATATATAAGGCAAACAGTTTTGGCAAAAATAAAAGATAGAGAAAACAGTTCAAAGGTTGTTCACTGACTCACTGTGCTCTGTTTAAAATCAAGTAAAATAGAGCTTTCTTGAGCGTTGGTATTATTGTTATTATTATTGCTGCTGCCGCCGCTCCTCCTACCACTACTGTCACTACTTTCACTACCACCACTACTGCTACTGCCACTGCCACTATTGCTACTAGTGCCACCACTGCCACCATTGCCACCACTACCACCACTATTACTACTACAAAAATATAAATATAAGACGCCATGAAAAATAACAGTCAAATAAAAACATGTCATATATGAGAGAGGCGGGTGATGGTTAGAAAATAAATGACTGATATTTAAACACTCATCATTTATTGTCAGATTTTAAATGATGGGTATTTAAAAAACTTGTCATTTATTTTAGCCCAACGTTTCATTTACTGAAAGGAAAAAATAAAAAATAAAATTAGACTTTAAATGACGGGTATTTTAAATATCCATCATTTAAAGTATAAACAATATATAATGGGTCTCCAAACACTGTCATATATTGTGGCCCAACGTTTCAGTTTTTTATAATAAAAAAAATAAAAAATTTTAAAACTTTAAATGACGGGTGTTTGAAACACCAGTCCTTCAAAGTCTGAACAATATATGAGGGGTTTTTTAAACACCCGTCATATATTGTTGGCCAACGTTTCAGTTTCTTAAAAGAAAAGAAAATAAAAAATTTTAAATTTTAAATGACGGTTGTTTTATTTAAAGTTCTCAAGATATATAACGGGTGTTTTAAACACCCATCATATATTCATGAATAAATGACGGGTATTACAATACCCGTCATTTATTCCCTTTTTTAATTCAGTTTTCAGTCTTATTTTTCATTTCCGCCCCGTTCATCTTCTCGGTATTCTCTCTTCTCCACTTGCACATGAAATCGGTAGAAATCTCTCAATCTTTTTCTATTATTGCTGTCAAACCACCTTAGTCCTCTCCGACGTGAAAGTGCCACCACCTACACCGTTCGTTGCCCCTCTCATTTGCTTCCTCTTTGTGTTTCATCTTCTCTTCTCCAAGGTACATGGGTGTGTGATTTCTATGTTTTTTTTTTCATTTTCTTCCAATATCCTTAGATTTCTAGATTATGGGAGTGATTTATTTAATGTTATGGATTGTTTTATTAGTTGATTTTGTTGTTTAAATTTTTCCTCATTTGTTGCCCATATAGATATTGTGGGGTGTCAAAAATTGTTAATGTTTGATGTTTTATTGACTTGAGAATGGTAGCAGATGATATACTTAGCCTTGGGATGGTTATTAAGATGAAAATTAGTTATCAAAATAGGATATTTATGATAATTGTATTTTTTCTATGAATTTTGACTGATTTATTTCAATAATTTCTAATTTAAATTTCGTGCATTGTTTGATCAGAGTATTTTATCATTTAAAACTATATATTGAAATGTACTAGTGTAGCAATTTTCATTACAATTGGAGTTCATTTTAGTGACCAAAAATGACGCGCGGTTTCTTTAAAAATCATTGCTATTTTGTTGATATTTTTACATTTGGTAAAGAATGATTTGTTCTTGGCTTGGGATTGCTAATATAGGATATATGTAACCTTAAAATGATTAATGAGACAGAAAACATTGATTCAGAATGATATTTATAGTGTTTTTCTTTTTTCTATGATTTTTGAACGAATTTTAGATATAATTTTATAATAATTAGAGTTAATTTGAAAAACTATTTTATGAGAATTTTGTTAGTTTTGTGATTGTATATGGTTGAAATTAATTGTTGAGTGAGATGCCAGGATTGAAAAGAGGGTTTTAGCTTGGAAAATACTTTATTTATGCCGTTATGCTGCCAAATTTTTTTCAACGGTTGAAGGAGTATGTGAATGCTCATGCATTGTGACTCATGATTCATTAATTACTCTATATTATGTGTAGATTAGTCAATTTCTTTTTGATAATCTTTCTATCATTCCTTTCCTCTCCATATTCATAGGTCACTGATGACATTTCCTTGAATGAATTGTCTTTTAGATTAAAAAGGTATGGATAAAGAATGGATGTCTGCTAATCGATTAAGTAAAGAGTATTTGAATGGTGTGAAAGAGTTTATGAGGTTTGCTCTTGAGCATGTGAAAGACCCTAGAAGAATAGTGTGCCTTGTGTAAGATGTGGTCTTTTGAAGCAAATTAGTGCATCTGAGTTGGAAAACCATTTAGTGTGTTATGGAATTAATGAAAATTACAAGTGTTTGCATAAGCATGGAGAGACTAGAAAGGATGAGTGTACTAGTAATTGGGAGTATAAAGGAAGCTTTGAATCAGATGATTACGACACAAATACTTATAAGGGTGATTGTCTTGAAGAGATGGCCAATACAATTGAAAGGGAACTTGAGGATTGTCCTGATATGTTAGAGATATTGAAAAGTAATGCCAGAGAAGCCCTTGTACGCTGGTTGTAACACACCAAATTTTTTTTTAAAATAATTTAACTCAACCATAATTGGGTTACAGCCACCCAACACATTTTTATATCAATAATTTCAATATAAAATATTTTATAATTGGCTTCAACTCACACACTATAACATTTTAGATAAATTTTTACCTCCCACATGCCATTAGGCTAAATCACATTTGTCCATCCTTATACTCCCAACAAGTAAATTAAATCACATTTGTCCATCCTTATACTCCCAACAAGTAAAATAAGCAATTTAATAAATTTTCAACACAAGCCAGTTACTTGGCCTTATAATCATGCCATTTTAACTAATTCAAAGTAAACCAAATATTAAAATTACAGTCATTCAAATTGTACCAAAAATAGAAATAGTTTGAAAGGCATGATTACATTTATATATTCATATAATTGACAATAAACAAAAAGCCCTAATATTGGCAATATAACACATTATAAATCATAAATTAAATACCCAAAAAAGACAGTGGATCTATACCACTAAGCCTCTGGGACTCCTCCACGTGTCACTCGTGGCTCTTCTCTTGAAAATTGTTAACCACATAATGAGACTCAAAAGTCCCAGTAACCAAAGCCAATTTATGATAGTGTATACAAACAGTTAAGTGTGTACTTATTAAGTGAAAATTAAAATAATATAATTCCACAAATATAAGAAATATTACAATACACACAAACAACCATCCTTATATTCCTCCATTACCTCGAGCCGTAGCCCTCACTTGGTGCTAAATACCTACCCGGCCAAAGGTAGATTAGCCCGAGCCCTTACAAGCCACCTATTGAGCTCCAATAGGGGCGTACCACGTGGCACATAAATACAACAACAATAGCAAGTCTCCCAACACCTCCCACAATAATCAATAAATTAATAATATTGCACAATTATATAATATTACAAAATTATAATTTTCTCAATAATCACCCAATTAACATGAAGTAACACTAAT